TTCAAGTCTAGCTATATATAACATAAAATGGAATCGGTGCTTCCATCCACCATTCCACCCTCCATGCTTTCTAAACTGTGGTTGCATTTCAAATAATAAAGTACTCTTCTGTTCTGGTATTTTCAGGATATTTTAGGGCTCATTATGAATATAGAGAAACAGCAAGAAATGTTTTCCTTTTTAACTGAAATTAAGTAGGTATCAATTGGTAAGATTAATTATCATCACATAGTTAAAGTATACGGGCAGAAAGCAACATCATTAACCTTAGAGCTGAATGATATTGGCTATGCATCATTATATTTAATTATTAATTTTATTTAATCCTACAAAGTAGCAAAATGGAACTACTGGTTACGTCACTAGAGGCTGTATTTCTTTTACCTAAATTCTACCGGTATTGGACAATCTTTAAGGTTCATTCTATGATTCTGTTCTGGAAATGCTACTTAATTATTCAAAATGTGCCAAAGATCACCAGGCCTGTGCTAATAACAGCTAATTTCAGCTAATAACAAGGAGAGGGCCAGTTTAACAGAGAAATGCAGTTAATAAAGGAGAAGGGACAGAAGTTTGCAGAAAATCATCTCTAAGGTTAATGGCATCAGTGAAGCAATTTAAAGCTTGACAACTAAAATAGAGAATGTAATGTAGAGTAATTTAGAAGACAGCATGTGAATGGGATACATGAGTAATCAGCACAAAATAAAACGTCCTTTTGCAAATAATTTTGGTCATGTACGTTTGCTCTGGCACTGGGATATTTGTAATGGTAACTCAGAGTCCGACTGCAGTGAAACAGCTTTCAAGGGGCAGGTACCACCTGCCCCTCAGTGCTATGTGTGCATCCAGGCAAATTACCCTATCTGCTTTGTTCTGCTCTGGCAAGACCTTCCTGTTACTCCAGAGCTAGTTCAGATATTTGTGTGCACTTGTAGCCCTGAGCTGTGTAGTTTTAGCCCTGTTTGCAAACTCCACATAGATCAATAGCTGAAAACAGCATGTTCGTGCTTTCTGCTGCTCCTAGAGAGGTGCCTTGTTCACCCATCCAATACATCACATAAGCCTATTTGTATTTTGTTATCATTACAGGTTCTGCTCCCTATACGTTCTTTTATGGAAAACAGGTAATACATGGGTGTGGGACCACCTTAAGTAGCAGATTTGACATAAATTACTATTTTTCATATTCCGTAGACTGACAAACTGAAGCCAACAGTTGACCTGAGGTAAATTGTGCCTTAGGAAAAGGGCAGATGCACAGTTAGAGCCCAGCCCTCCTCCTACAAGGCCAATGCATAATTTGGTAAATCAGACTTAGTCTCAGGTTGTTCTTTAACCCAACTCAGACTAGTAAATGCAAAAACAAGACGAGAACTTGAGATACTTGGGATTTTATTTTTTTAATTATTCTTTTTTCTTGGAGTTTCAGTGTAATTCTCTGGCTTTGTGCTTGTGCAGAAATCCTTCCAAATGCAAATCAAAGGTTGCCTTCAGGTAGAGTTGCAGTTTAGCTTTTGGAAACAGCCTGCTGTGGGAGGTGTGAACTTCCACACCCTCCAGTGGTAAAAGTGGAAAGGCTGCTGCAGTAAATGGGCTTGGTGGTAACATTAAGTCTTCCACAATCAGCAAAAATCAAGTCTTTCTCTCTGTATGGAGACAACCACATGCTGTCCTGATCTCTTGGGTTCATAGTGGTATTACTGTAATTCAATTATTCTTCTGACACCATTATTGCAAAATAAGGAACAGGACAGAAACACCAAGTGTGGAAGCGCAGTACTGAGTAAGTAGTATCTACACTCAGTCCCTCTTGTCATTAGATGTATATCCAGGCTCTGAAATTATGTTATCTTTAAAGAATTGCCTTATTGAAAAGCATAATATGGCTGTTTCTAGGGGAGACATACCTCCTGTTCTCCCCATAGCGGTAGTCCAGCAGTCAATCCCAAGTGATGCACAGGCACTTGGGAAGCATTCTGTTGTTGAGCTGTACTGTTCAGCTGTTCTTCATCACTGGGGAAGACCTACAAGCTGGTGGAAAGTGTAATGTCAGAGTATAAACATTTATCAGCATAATCCAGGGGATTTTTGGTAAAAGCCAAAACTAAGAAATGAAGAGGAAAAGGTTCTGGTTGCGTTACTTGATTTCCATAGAGGGTTTCACTGAAATGATCGCATATGTAGAAACTGGTGATGTGAACAATCTTACATGTGCTGTATCTATACCACCACTGTTGTGAAAAGCTGGTTACAGGGCCATGATCCTTCAGCAACTGCCCTAGTAGTGATGAAAACAGGTTTTTTTCTGAGGATGGATAACTTATTGCAGTAATAATCAGTGTGAGCAGCCATGAGTATATTTTAATACTATCTGCTGGAGGAAGAAACAGTGTTAGTAAGAGTAATATTCAAAGCCACATGGTGCAGCATTATTAGACTCTTTCAGAAGAGATGATACATTCCCTTTGGTAAGCTACAGGAAGTGGTCATGTCTGCAAATGTGAGACCCTACTTCCCTCCCATCCCCATTGGCACCTCTGTTCCATTCACATGAGCAGGAATTTTGTACAAAAAAAAAGCAAAAAGGATGGAGACTCTGACCTTCATACTGTGCTTAAGCCAAAGGGTCCTTAGGGCAAAATTGTATGTGATCCTGTAGTGCAGTTGGTGGCTCTCAGCCTGGAAACTAAAGGTACCAAGATACTGTCTATGGCTGAGCAGAGAAAATAGTCAGATTATATTTTTTTTTCCTAAAAAATACATAAAAATCAATGCAGACTCCTGAGAAATCCTAACATTTGTGGTTGGAAATATTCCCCATCTCCTTAGTGGTCAATAGCTTTATATATTGATAGAAAAAGACCTGAAAATTCAGTTGTCTTTGACACTCTGGGGAAACTGAATCCATTATAGTCTTCACAAATTTCAGTGAGCTTCAGGAGCATTTAATTTCCCCTCAGAAAAGAGCTGTTCCCTCAGGCACATCAAAAATTCAGTTCTCCTCGCAATGGTCTTGGGAAGGACCATCTCCATCGTAGATTTTAGCAGACCAACATCATTTGCAGTCAGATTTGCACTGTAAGCAAGTTGAACTGTGAGGGTTTAAAATGATCTGTGGACATGCCATGGACTCTTCCCAAAGTTACTGCAAGCTTTTCTTTTCTCTGGCAGTGAAATAAGTTTGTACCCCTGGAAATTTCAATAGGAGTCATTGAATTGTCACTCTTATACTTTCTGTATTCAAAACCAGTGTTTACTGTGGGCTTTTTGAGGCATCACACTATAGATATCAGATTTCTAACTATTTCCTGCATTTGCCTCTTCTGCAGCCAAGAGAATAATGAATTTGCTGTTTTGTTCAGCAGCTGAAGACTGCTGCAAGAGCATCTTTCCAGGCCACTTGGCTCTAGGGGAGCTGCTTCAGGTCTTTAATAGCAGTAATCCTTGATTTCTTATTAACTTTTAATGGTGATGAATTTTATTAATTAGAATGATTAGCAGATCATATTCATTGGATAAATATTAGTTTGGTTCTCTGCAAAATTAAAGACTACCCCTAATCTTGCAAGCACATAACTATGGGACTAATTTCATGACTGTGAGTAGCTCCGTTGAACTCATTTAAGTGTTTGCAAGTACATACCATGTTATCAGTGTCCTGTGTACTAAATTTGCCTCTTCTTTGGTTTTACTACATAGAGAAAACTGTTGGTTGGGGTTTTGTTGTTGTTGTTTTGTGCATGTATGTATGTGTTTAGGCAAGTAAATTTGTCTTCTCATAGTTGGCAATATCAAGTCATCTGGTCATTTCCAACCGTGGCTGACAAAGACATAGTGTATTGGAATATCATTTCTAATGACTGGAAATTGTGTTAGGCATCATTGAAGGAAAGTACTTACATCACAGTGACAGATGAGTGCCCTATATGTCTGTCTTTTTTTACAAATGACTGTTTATAAAGCTAAAGTTCCCTTCCAATCTTGAAAAGAAAGTTCAGAAAAATTGAAAGCAAAAAATAAAATCAGTTTAAAATAAAATAATTTTCATATTTTAAAATATTTAAATAGAATGGATAAAATTGAAAATAATAATTTATTTTGAAAATATATTTAATCTTACTCCAATATCCTGTTTTAAACCTTTTTACATTTAATCTTTAATGTGTTTTGTATGAAGCAATAATTTAAAAACTCTTATACGTTTTGATGACTATTAGAACTGCAGTTTTTATATAGTTTACACTTTCATATCAAACCTGTAAAGTAAATAAATCTGTTGTGATTTTTAGAACAGAACACCATCTCATTATGTTTGCTGCTGTTGAAAGCATGTCTTTTCTGCTCCTGCCACAGCATTTTGTTGGGAATATGTGGAACTAATACAGCGTGGCCACTTAGTTTCCTGGCTGCCATTCCACTGAGTTTCACATTTTAATAACATCGACTTGCCTTATAAAAGCTGAAATATCAGCGTATTTTTTAAAAATGCATTTTTAAAAAATATAAATTAGCACTGATTCCTTCTTACCCTAGCAATATAATAAATATTTTAGAAGTCTGATGATACGACTATAGATAAAACAAAACTTGAAGATTGCTTCTGAGACCACTAAATCTGAACTTCATCACTAGAGATTAAAAAAACTCATCATTTGGATAAATGAGAACAGGTAGTGAAGTGATGGGAAACAGAGCTGCTATTACAATACATGTAAGTGAGGGATTTTGCTAACCAGCCATATATAATTCCATCATTGAATATATATCTGGCTCGGATATGTTGTTGTGAAATGACATACAAATGACATCGATAGCCCAAACTTTTTATGAAATCACATCATCCTATCTCTGTATTAGAAGAATTTGTTTCCAGTGTCCATTTCTACTGCAGATGGGTTCAGTGCCTAGGCACCAGAATAGTCAGTGGTGGTTGCCCACCCGAACTGACACTGGTCTCATTCTGCCCTCAAAGTCCACACAGTCAGTTCATCCACATGACCTGTTCAGTGTATATCTTTATTTGAAATGCTATAGCTGTAGAAAAAAGAAAAAAGTGCATTTTAAAGATTGATTTTGACAGTGTGTTACGTAATAGAACTGTTTTGTTTGTATCTTCAGGATGTTGATCTGAAAGCGTGTCAGGAAGCTTTGGATGACTGCTGTCCACACCGAGGAGATGATCAGCTGGAACTGCAAGAGGAGGAGGAGAAAGACATAAATCAAGTAAATGATGAAAAAAGTGGGAGAAGAGAAAACTCTGAAGAGGAAGTGAGGGAGGATATATCCTTATCAAGATAAGGAGAAGTGAAAAGAAATGGAGTTAAAGGTTTTGAAAGGAATATTTTATTTCTTCTTTTCATTTGGAATATCCCTTGCAAGGACAGGAAAGGAATGGTCACTTTAGAGGATACTTTGTGAATGATGCCCTTGTACACCCTCTCGAAAATCACCTCCTCCTCTCCACCCCCCAGTACAGTTTATGTAGTTGAAATATTCTGAAGTTTACAAAAAACACTTGCAAATAACCATTTTTCAATTTGGTTTGATTTCCTTCATCATGAAGGTGTTGTGCTTGTGGGCAAGGATTTTATTTTTCCTACAAACACTAGAGACATGGATGATAAATTATACTGTTCTCACCATTTATGTAAAGCTTACTGCTTGGATGTAGAATTCCATTTGGGACACTGGACTGTTCTGTGCATTTTGGGGTTTGTTCTCCCTGAGAGCTACAATGAAAAGGGCACTCAATCTTCTTGAGACCTTGTGAAAGCTGAGCTGTTCTGCTAATTCTAGCAACGTGTTATCTCCCATCAGTATGAGGACTTGATGATGGGGTCAGCAGCATTATTTCACAGAGCTGTGCTCTGTTTCCTCTCAGACTGTGATTTTTACCTCCTTTTATGTAAAATAACTGTCCTTTACAACATGTTTTTCTTCTGTCACAGAGCAACCGCAACCATGTAGATTCCCTTCTCTCCCTCGAGGGCTATTTACAGCTTCTGTCATCGCAGATGGAAAACATGCTAGAGGTAAATGAGAAAAAACATGTATTGCTAACAGATTGGAATACAGTCAGCAATTACTGGGTAATGACTTATTCTATTTCATCTAATAACCACAGCCTACCTCACCCACTCCAGGAATATACCAGCAAATCAATGTAGTAAATCTTACCTGAAGATGCTAAAGATGCTCCTATCCACCTTTTACAGCAGCTGTCAGTGGCTCTACTTGAAAAATTTTCCCCAGGAACTTGTCTGGGATATGAAAGCTACAGAGCTCTGTCTTTACTGCGATCTGGTGTTCAAAGTTGGATGGAGCCACTGGACAACCTAATTAGTTCAACTAATAGTTGCTTTTCTGAAACCTAATGCCATTTCATATTTATACAGCAGCTCTTGGTGTGTTTCTCTAGAGCAACACTGAGTTATTACACAGTAGCAGCTATTGAGCATTTATGGTGAAAGATTACAGTTGTCATAAATACTGGGTCATGTGCTTACAAGGTCACTACCCTCAAGGAGAACAGACCCATCTTCACTGCAAATCAGGTCAGTCAGCATTAGCAGCAAACCCATTCAGTTTCTGGCCTTCTGATACTATTGTTTACTTTCTGTGTGCCTGTTTTGACAAAAAAAACCCAGTAGTTATTTTAATTGGAGTCTCCCTTCTCTCCCACAGCTCATAGCTGCAATCATTAACCATGAAGCTATTCTCTACATTCCTTTTTTGCAACACTTCAAGGGCATCTTACATCCACTTCATCGTAGGAGCCTCTTCCAGGGTCAATAGTGTTTTCCATATAACTTCATACATTTAGGAACATAACTACCTAGATTTGATAATCTCTAGGTTAGATAGTGCCTCCCAGCCCAGAAATTAGCCTTCTCCTCTGTTCAGTTCTGGTAATGGATTGCACGCTAACAAGATGCAGAAGTTCATCAGTTTAGTTTTCTTCATTCTCATAATTTGAAAGGAATTTGGCTGTAGCCTTCATGCAGCTCTAACAATACACAGTTCCATATTTTATTTAAGACTATTTATGCAGTGCCATCTTCTGTTGAAAATGGATTGATTCTTCCAGGTATCAAATCTTTATTCTGCAGGGGGTCTAGTACAAGGTAACTCCCTAGGAGAAATAAGGCAAGACCTTCTTCTGTTACCTGAGCTCTCAGTAAGGATAATAGAGACTTTAAGATGTTCTGGTCTTTATGGTACATCATTCCTTCCCTGTGGAAAGTGCTTTTTACATTGTCTGTTCAATGAATGGCAATCCGAAAGCCCTTTCCTGCAACACAGTAAGGATGGAGGAATCCTTTTTGCTTCCTACTAAACGTATTTACATTCTCAAGTATTTTGTATCCATCTATGGATATGACTACTCTGCTTGTCAGCAAGTACCCTGACATAATCTCAGGCAGTGGCTTTGTACTTCTAGAACCCAGCAGCTATAACTCAGGCCCAGAAAAGGTGGACCTTAATGCTACGGGAGCATTATCAGTCCAGTTTACTGTTTGGACTTCAGGGCTGAGGGATCACACATCAGCTTTATTTTTGTAAAGAAAAAGTGAGTGGTAATTTAAAGTCAAAAGACATCCAAAAAAGGTGTGATCTTGGGGGGGCTGTTTCCTCTAAACTTACTAGCAAAGGAATTTGGTTGAAATCTGGTTGCAACAGATGTCAGTTAAGAAGATCTAAGCCAAATGTGGCACCTCACAGCCCCCAAAGCTTTATAAACTGTGAAAGAAAAGTAGTAAGACTGTGACAGCAAGATCCTAATGTTCCTGTCTTCCACCCTTCTTTTATTCACCAGTGTTCTCACTGGTTAACTTCTGTAGGTGAGCTATTTATCTTCTTTAAAAAGTTAATTTTCTAGCGGGTTAGCACATTGAACCAGCTCACCCTTCAATCATCAGTACCACTACCAGTGAAGGGCCATTGTTGCAGTCTGAACTGGATACCAAAAGAAAAGGAACTGATTGGATTAAACAGGAAACCTTAGGCCACAGGGGCTGAGGAAAAACCACCATCTAAAAGACCAGACAAGATCCATTGTCCTGATCTCCCCCAGCAGGATGTAGAGAGACTTTGCATGATGCTATCAGATATCCCATTGTTTTCTCCCTCCCTGTGTAAATCCTTCTTTGGGGTAAAAGCTGATCACCCTTCCCCAATGTAACCCTGCTTACTGGAAATATCAAACCTTTTACCCCAAAATGTAAATACTGTATCTGAGAAATGTAAATCCATTTTTCCCCTTATGTCACCCCTGTTACTGGAAACGCTAATAGATTGTGGAAACCCCTGTTCAGAATAACCCTGCCTCCTCATTAGCATGTAAGTCCCCGAGACCCTTAAATAGCACTTACGTGTTCAATAAATCATTCCAGATTTTGCACCCATATCTGGGATCATGATAGCTTTGGACCGTTACAGGCCATGACCACTCCTCCAAGAAAGACCTTTTCTTAGACCAGATCAAGTGTAACACACAAGTGTAGTTTGATGTACACTTGGCAACAGTCCCATTTCTACCTCTCAACGCTCATCAGTCCCACACTGTCCTTTGCAAGTCCTTCTCCCATTCCTTAAGTCACTTACTTCTGCACCCTTCCCATTTCCTTTTGCCATATGCCAGTACAGGTTATCCTTTGTAAAGACAGGAAACAGCATTCAGAATAGCTAGAAGAGTTTGACATATAAAAATTTGGCTTTAATAGAGTCAAGTAGTGGATTATTAAAAAACAAATTGATTGTGACTGTGTAGGTGAGAGATATAGAGGCATTAATTTTATAAAGATCCCATTTTTCCCCCCATTATCTTTTAGGTGAGCTTACTGGAAGATACACAAGTTGCTACTTCTAGTAGAGGTCAGAACCCATCATCCTTACACCACAATATAAATTTGACCCAGACACTTCACGACTATTTCAGTCCTCCTGATGCCATGCTACTAAGAACAGACTACCCAACTCAATCAAATTCAAAACCAAGACATTTACAAAGGCAAGAGTCTTTTCCTCAGTCAAGTTCTAATATCACAAATCCAGAATCACTACTTCATGGGCCAAATTTGACAGGGCTGGTTTCAGCAGCTGACCTTAGAAACCTAACAGCCCATGATGATAATTTTGATGAAATTAAACTCATGTCTTTGGCTTTGGATGAAGACTTTGGTCCTATAGAAATTTCTCAGATCTTTGAAGAGTCTGGCTCAGATTTGGGACTATCTTTGAATTCAAGTCACAGTACCACCTCTTATTCAGTCTGCTGTGAAGATGCTGTTGGGTACAGCAGTGGTGTTAAATCTGCTCCTTCACATGGCGTAGGAGCTGTTGATGGCCATTGCAAAGAAAACACTAAATATGACCATGAGGAATATCCAGGTGATGCTGAGTGTCCTAGAGAAGCCACGCTTCAGCAGTTTCTTCATAACCACACTTACAATCAGCTGCCAAGTCAAGGAGCACCCGCTCCAGGGCATCAACAGTCATGGATGAAGAAATCGAACAAGGTAAAGGATAGGTGCCATAATTCTACTGATTCAAACCATAGCAGTGATGAATGCTCTGCCAAAGCTCCGAAAATACCGTTTTCAAACGATGAAGTTGTGAGCATGCCTATTGACTCTTTCAACACCATGCTAGCGAAGAACCAGCTGACAGACACTCAGGTATCACTTCTACGTGACATCAGACGAAGAGGAAAAAACAAGGTAGCTGCCCAAAATTGCCGTAAACGCAAACTAAATGCAATTCTTGACTTGGAAGAAGATGTGTGTAATCTTCAAACTCAAAAGGAGAGCCTTAGAAAGGAGCACTCTCAGTGTAGCCGATCAATCAGCCAGATAAAGCAAAAATTAAACAACTTGTACTGTGATATTTTCAGTAGACTGAGGGATGACCAGGGTAGACCTGTTAACCCACACCAATATGTCATTCACTGCAGTAATAATGGTAGTGCTTTCATAATACCCAAACACTTAGTCAAATCTGAACAGAAACAAGATACCACAAAAGCGCAGAAACAAAGATAAAACAGCTGAAGATCAACTAGGTTTTATTTTGCCTGGAAGAACAGGGAGACTTGTGTGAAAACTGGAGGTCAGTGATTACAGTAGTTCAAACAGAAACAACTATACTTGAGGAGAAACACTTCACATTCAAAAGTCTGTCAAACTCACCTGACTGGGATCTGTTAGAAAGTCTAAAAGCTGAGGCTTCTGAATGAGGAAATCAGAGTTTTAGTCAGAATTAAAGGAGCTAGCCCATCAGTGTAGGTGTAGTTTTATATACCTATGTTAAAACCAGGAATTTCATTGCAGGTGATGGGGGGAGAGGGGAGAACATCAGTGGGGGGGATAAAAGCCAGCTTTAGATCAAAGTTAGACATGCAAGAAAAATGTGTTTTAGTCTTGAGTACTTGATTCTTCATACAGAAAGTGACCTTATTTTATTCTCTAGCACTGAAAGAAAAATTGTAGCTCTAGTGCATCTCCAACTTAAATTCACTGTGGATTCCCATATTCTCAAGAGATAATCTGTGCTTTGCATTTGTTCAGAACTGTTCTGCTTTTCCTAGTTTTCCGTTGAGAAGAGAGGCCCAGGAGGCTACTGTATTTTTCCTCACTACTTTCATCATCACAGCTTCAAGCAAAGATAATGTACCAATTAATTTTACAACTCAAATGATCAATCTGCAAATAGATTTTCTATGAAAAACTGTCTGATTCAGTATTGTCTTACCTTCGTCCTCTGCAACTGAATCATTCTCAGCTTTCTTTCATGAAAACAACTGATGGTGAACAAGTTCCCATTCTGCTTCCTAGTGACTGGGATATATTTACTTGTGTACCTCCCCTTTTCTCACCGTTTTGATACCTTCAAGGAGAAGTACTAGTTTTTCTTTTTGGCTTTATTAAACTGGTATTTTTTAGTGTCTTCAATGTTACAGATTTTTTTTTTAATATTTTCCCTAATCTTTAAAGTAAATTAAATTGAACCAAATTACTGTTTATCTGTACTTCTGACTATATGAGTTTACATTGATAGCACTGTGAATGAAGTTTTTGGTTTGGACATTTCTTTCTTTGTGCTATGAAAAAGAAGACACTTTATTCACTCACATACTTACAACATCCTGTCCTTTACTATTTTACAACCTGAAAAGGTTGCAAAAAGAGATGGCCTAAAAGGCATGTAATGAATGACTAGGAAGGAATATTGAGGTATAGTAGTCTCTAAGGTATGAAAATAAATACTAACATCTAGATAGCACAAATAAATTTTTATATATTTTATAAGCAAAACATAAAATTGGTGTTAAAAAAAATTCTCATTGGTCATGGCATAATGACAATGGAGCAAATTTACAGTCAGGTATGTTAAAAAATTGCTTGTACCAAACACATAAGAACTACATATACAAGCTTAAATGCCAAATTATACCTTTTGAAAAAAACTGCCCTTACCACGTAAATCATGTTGGTTGCTTGCACTTATGTTTAAAGAAAATTGATAGTTTATCAAGTGATATTTTCTAAAAAAAGGAGCACTGACTCAGTGCCAAGGGCACTGGATTATCAATAATGAAATCAGCCTGTTTGAACAATTTGCTTAGCATTTTATATTAAAAGATTTCTTTCAAATAAATATGTGCATCTGTTGTTTTATTTTTTTCACCACAGCCTCAAATTCATAGTGTAAATTCATAGCAGAAAGTCTCATTAGTGAGGCCATGAAATTTGTTAAGCAGCAGTGTGAAGCGTATCTATCCTAAATGGTATTCACAAGGAATTCATCTAATAGCTAGATCACAAACTTCAACCAAAACATGCAGTAGGTACCAGAAACATATGATGAATTGGGAACTTTACTTCTAGTTTCAGGGGGAAAAGGTACATATTTGAGTCAGCATGATTGTAATCTCTTAATTAAATGACATAAGCATTTAAAAGTCCATGCACTTATCTTTTGCAGGACTAGGCCTTTAAGCCTATTTCTTTTCCCATGTGCACAAATTCTGATACTAGATTAGGCTCATAACTGATAAATCCAGAAAGCCAAGTAGTTGTTTTGGGGCCTCACAAGGGCAGGGGAAAAAAAAAAGTAAAAAAGGCTAAGCCTTTTGGTGCCCACTCCTTCAGTAGCAGTGGCAAGTGGACTCTTGAACAAAAGCCAGCTGCTAATATGACATACACCCAAAGTGGGAAAGTTACTGCCCTCAACTAACTCAATAAATGTATGTGTGAATCTCAATTGCTCAGAATTCAACTAGCTACTATACCCTTACAAAAACCTCTTAGGCAAAATACCAATTGTGAGCAGACTGTAACAACACTGACACAGACACTGAGCATTAGGTCTAGATGTACTGCACGATTTTTTTGAACATTCAACTATCTGCTCACAGAACAGACAAAACTGTAGGTAGAATTCAAACCAATGTCCTGTTTTTACAGCTTGAGTAGACTGCCATTAATATTACCTAACAAGTGGTGCTAGCTTTTGAAGTGTCTTCCCCTTCTGCAGCTAGCCTAGGTTAAAAAAAAAACAACAAAAAACACACACACAAAAAAAGGCAACTAAGTCTCAAACATTGCTCAGCCTTGACTATGCCTTACAATTTCACATCCTTAAATGATTGGTGGTTAGGCCAGCCAGCCTGAAGCTTTTAATACACTTCCTATAATGGCCTTAATCTGTATTTGCAACCCATATACAAAAAATGCGATACTGTACAGGACTTACAGAGCTATTCAGGAAGACTGATAACAGAAATGGTTGCTACTGAAACAGTTGTAAAAGGTGGATAGCACCTGACTGACGTCTGTCCTGGCTTCATTATTGATAGATCTTAACTTTCAAGAAACCAAAACCTGAAGTGTACAAGTCAGGAACTTTATTATGTAAAAACATATGATGGATTATCAAACCTCGTGTGTAAAAAGCTATTATGGCTGCATCCTACCTTACTATGCAGAAAAGCAACTCACTGACATAGGAACAATAAAAACATTAGAACAGTGCAAAGCTGAAGATTGTAAATGTAGCTGTTGATAAGAGCAACAAAAAAATGGAAATGTCCATGGTAAAGCTATTACGTGGCCTGTAACACTTCCAGCTACACTACATTTTTCATTACATTAATAGTGAAGTTATCTTCAAGGTAGAAAAGGTCAGATTATGTATAAAGAAAAAAGAGTGGTGGGGATACCACAGTGCATATATGTATCTTCTGTTACTGCTGGAAGCAACATGCTTGGGCACTACAGAGCAGGAAAAACATCCAACCAGAAACAAATGCGAGCCACGCACTTTATTAGACTGCAATACGCACCGTATGGTTTATGACATGTAAGGCTGAACACTCCTGGAGAGGTATCCTGCAGACAAGCCCTCCCTGAGGAGTCACAGCACACAGCTCCAACACTACAAACGCTTCAAATGACCACTACAGCACCTCGCTGAAGTGTAGCTTTACCTTCATGGGTTTGGTTTTATTCAACAGATTTGGCTTTTCACAAAGCCAAATTTTACAAGCTAAGGCCGCTCCTGCTCAAGAGCTTACAATCTAGTTTTAGAGGGGAGAACCAGAAAAAAAAATTTCAATGAGGAAATAAGAGACAAAGCAGCTTCATATCAGTTTGTCAATCTTTGACCCAAAACACACACACAACATTTGTATCTTATGGGAGTCAGAAGTACAGTATTAACAAGAATCTTGAGGAGAGTCAGCAGAGGCCTATAAATGAGGCAACAGGACACTTAACACCAGTTTGTAGTGAAAAACTATTTATTAAATAAATCAAATAGAGATGGCACATGTAACCATGTGAAGTCTTATCACTGTAGGGTACCTCATAAAAGTGCTGCAACTTGACACCTGCTACACAGCTACTAGAACTCCAGTAAGTGCATCAGCCACTCACTTTCACACATGAATGCCCCAAAATGAACCAAGAGCAAGCAGACCAAATAAGGAGGGAAAGCGGGGCACTGGTAACAGCAATTGTCTAGGACTTTCCCCCAGTCGCACTTTTTCATACAGTGAAGCAACATGGGAGGTCACACGCAGTTTGTAACTACATGGTCCCCAAATGTGTTCACAGCACTGTCAGTCAAGTCACACAGCTATTTATATACTGTTAATTTTACTGCTGATAAACAAGTTCTTTCTCCATTAACTGGAATAGCTCCTGACAACACTGAAACTTCTGCTGCAATGCAACACTAGCTGCAAAGCAAGAACACAGCTGTTAAAGGGACAACTTCTGGAAAAATGGATCAGTGTTACGGAGACAAACCCTTCCATGTAATACTCCTATACATCCCTAGTACACTGAATGGTACAGCTGAAAAAACGAGGACTGGGCATCTACCTTGGGAGAAAAAAACCCCAACAGCACTACTATGGGGTTTCACTCACATCACACACCCAGCTTTGAAAACAAACTGAAACACTACAGCTACACAGAATGCACTGTTCCAGTATGTTCCCAGCAAATCATCCTGCACCACTGATGTGGTCAAGCTGCCAAAACACGCTCAGCTGACAACTCCTTGAAAACTCGTATCTGTTTCTGGGGCTTGGTTCTTCTTCCCCAGAAGTAGTATGATTTCATCCTCAAGGTATCATGTACGTTCACCATAAACCTAAAACACAGTCTTCTTCCCTACATGTAACAAAGTTCAAGCCCTGTTCATTTTACAATATTAAAAGCAATTGTTCACATTTTCCTAAATGCTTTTCACCACCAGCAGGACAACAGAAATTAATAAAATCCAATTTTCATTGTAAGTAACACTGTCTTGATGGCCAGACCCCTAGTACTGACCTTTTCAACATCACTTTATGTGCAAGTCAACCACTGTATTTTTTGGCTCCCATACCAGTTACCAACAAGTTGTTTTTCATTCTTCCCTCAGTCTGCTGCAAAGTGTTTTTGCTGGGGGAAAAGTGGGCCTAGTACTGACAACCTGATCCTTAGTTGTTAGTACACTGAAACATGTTATGCTTACTTTGAAAATGAAGGCTGTAGTGACATAAACCCAACTTGATAGAAATTCAGAAGTACACACTGTCTACAAATTGATGACCAGGAATTGACCACACACACTGCTGTTTTTATTTGAAGTTGCTGACTTCCAGCATCAGGCTGACTCAAAATGGTGATTTCTTTCACCAAATTCACTGGTGAACGCTGCAACTGTCACTTGCTTTAACTTTTAAGAAGGTACCAAAAGATAAGTCATGAAAGTTCAACAGTAAGACATCAGGAAACTTAAAACACCAGGTTTTCAAGACTTTAAATATCCACTAACTTCATTTTTGCATAGTGCTGTCCCATTATACACTCCCTTCCCCCACTGCCAGCAGATCAAAATTAAAAAATCCTCATTATGGAAAATATAAGACATTTAATTCAAGTAAATTTTAAACCTTGCTGTAAAACTACTGAAAGACTATCTCAGAAATAATTACTTCCCTTCAAAGTGGTTAGGGTTTTTTTGATGTTGTATGAATGTGGACTTGGCAACTGTAAAGAAAAAACTTCCATCAACTAAACCTAAGTTACAGGAAAGAAGGCAAATTCCTTATGATCTGGTCAACTCATTCTGTTGGAAAGAAGAAAGTAAAGGAGATTTTATCTTCATTTTCTGCTTCCGTTGCAGCCCACCGGTTACCTATGCAAATATTTTAAAGTTCAATTTAAAAAACAGAAAAAAGTTGCATGTGAATCCTTAAACAGTATTATAAAGAAGGTTAAAGACACGATGATTCTGCCAAAGCTAGGCATATAAATTTCAAATATAGAATAAACTGCGTACGAAGGTAACTGGTTAAAACAGTATAAACTGAAGATACTTTCCCTCAAATACATTCCCAACTGAAGTTTTCCCAAGCTCAGACTTAGTGTTTGATTTCGTAGGGGTTTTGTTTTGTTTGGGGTTTTTTTGTTTTATTTTTTTTCCGCCCCCAGATGCAGCTATCAATACAGTTCTGGTACAGCAAGAACTCTATATTCCATTTGGTCTTTCTCTCTTCACCCTAAAACCTCTTTACAGGTGAAAAGGATATTGTCCTATTGCAATTTGACAAACTGACAAACACAGCCAAAAAAGTCTATTTTTAAGCACTTGTGTCCAACAGCAAAGAGATCAGCATTTTTAAGTTGCAGCACTGTTTCTCCCAACAGAGAACAGATGCCTATGGTCAGAGAAACAAGTTCGGTAAATACACTTATCAAACTGATTCTGTTTTAAATTCACCTCAAAATGGAATGTTTCAAATCATGAAAGGGTCTAAAAGCTGCACATAAACATTATTTAATGTTAGATACACACTAAGTTTTTATTAAGCATTACACTAGAACTACTTTGGTATAAAAAATACTTTATTTTAAAGCTATGAAAGTTATAAATATATGTAGTTAAACTTTCTACTCACAGAATGTTTGCTATTTTAACATTAGTGATTTGTTTCTCCTAACGAATCTGAATTTTATTCGAAAGGTTTACAAGACATTATTACTATAATTTAAAAAACCCAGCATTACAGGGAGCTGTACTAATTGTGATGTTTTATCAGTATTCATTTAACCTCTAGATTTTTAATGAAGGCAGCAAAAACAACTATTTTCTGATGATAC